CCGGGAGCACAGCCACCCCTGCCAGTCGCCCTCCATCCCTGCCCCATGCCAGCTCCCCTGGAAGCGCGTCGGTGCTGAGGCCAGAGCCCCGGCCACCAGCTGTGCCAAGGCCGGGCACTGCGGGCATGGTGTCCCCTCGCCCCTCGCAGACCCTTTGCACTCACGCACTTTCTGGATTTTCCTGATCTGGTCAGAGAGCGTGTCTAACAGGCGCGTTTTCAGGAAGTCATTCACTTTGGCCACTCGGCCATCAATGTAGTAACTGGAAGGAAAATAAGAAGACAAGGATCAGACAGCTGGGAGTAGCTCTGCCCCGAACCACATCCTCCCGTCCTGCTGCTGCCCCGCACCAAGAAAACTCTGCTCCAGGGGAGTCCCTGCTTGCAACCAGCCCTGCCCTGGCCCTCTGGCTGTGCCTGTGTCTGGAAGATGCTTTCAGTCTCCAAAACAAGGTGTGAGGTGGATGCACCCTGAACATTGAGCATCCTGCACTGCAGAAACCACGGGAAGTTTTGCACTTGCTTAACTATTGCTGGTGAAATGCTGGGAGCAGATCGCAAAAGGCTGGGAGCAAAATGCCACCTGGAAAGGCTTTGCAGCACCCTCTGCGCTGACCTCATGGAGACACCATGGAACGAGACCCTCCAACACGTTGCCTGTAATAGTCAGGCAGACCCTGGGCTCCACCACCAAGGAGATCTTGGGAGATCTGTTCACCTGGCTCGTCCTGTCTGTACCCATCCCCTGTCTTAGGGGCACCCTGCTTCCAAAAGGCAGATAAGCCAGTCAGCCCTGTGCCCAGTATCATTGCTACTGGAAAGACTTCTTCTACGGGATGGCAAAATGGAAGATGCACATCTAATGGCTGAAATGAAGATCCCCTTAGCCACAGGAGGACACTATGCAGACAGCAGGGAGGAGAAGGGTCCCAAGCTGGGGCTGGCAGGGCCCAGCCGCTGCCTCCCTTCCCTTGGTGAAGCCACATCCAACCAGAGTTACACAGACCCTTCTCCCTTTCCGCAGACTTCAATACAGCCATGGGTGCTGGGATGCATAACGGGCTGAAGACCTGGGGTCTGAAGAAAGGTGGATTCAGCTTTCCAGGGCTGATTTCTCCATAACATGCATCTCACCCACACCAGTGAGCAGCTGTAGTGGCCGTAGTGGCTGCTTCACTTGGGTGCTGAAATGCAGGAGCATCCCCAAAGGACGCTGCCATCTAACTCAGCCTCAGCCAGAACGCCCAGCACACGTGCAACATACACGAGTGCTCAGAGAGGATTTTTGCTTCTCACTGCTCCGAGTGACTACCCAGGTAACAGGGTAAATGCACTTGGAGCTGCACAGGGCTGTGCTGAAAGGGGAGCAACACCAGGACTAACTGGCCCAGAACAGAAATGCATTAAATGAGAAGAGTGTCACCTGCCAATCCTCCCCCAGAAGTGTAGTCCCTGCTGTGTCCCCAGTGAAGCACAGGATCATGCCCAGTCTCGCTCCAACGTTGTGTAACCCAGGGAAGGAGGAAAGAGGCATTTCTGTATGTCTGTGTTGACTGGAAGGTGCTAAGGGCAGAGATTATCTCTGGTGGGGACTTGGGAAGTGTTCTAAATCATTCCAATCACTTATATGCTATCGAACCACTGGCTGCCGGGAGGAGAGCAGATCTGTAAGCAGCAGGCAGCAGTGGGGTTTAGAGAGATTACTTTTTTAAGACAAAATTACAAAGCCATGGACTCTGGGGATGGCAGATGTTTGGATTTTTGCACAGCACTTAAGAACTGAACAGAAACGATTTTTTCAGACTGCTGTGGACTAAAAACCCCATCACCTGGGCTGCAAACTGGCGGAAAGGCCATAAAAATAAGGTTGTATTAAATGGGAAAAGATGGAGTTAGAGAGACCTCAGCCTGCGTATGGCTCCTCCAACACAGCAGGCTTTCTGCAGGGTTCAGCTTGCCTGCACAAGCTGGTATGGTCCCAGAAAAAAAAACCCTCAGAAAGCAAAGGCAGGCTTGCATCTTCTCATTGACTCGTCCGAGTACCAGGTATGCTCTGACCTACAGCTCTGCTGCCAAGGGAGAGGAACATCTCTCCAGGAGCTGCCCCAAAGGAGGCTCTGCCATCCCAGGGACCACGCAGAGGAGGCAGCCTGGGAAGGTGCTGCTGTGCTGAGCACAGCCAAGACCCCGCAGGGAAAATAAATGCCCCAGGACCGTGCCACAGTCACATATTTTTGACAGAGAAATGGGGACTGGCAGAGGGATGAAAGGCAAAAATAAACTTTCTTCAGTATCAGGAAATCTTGTTGGTAGTACGTCTCCTGGGGGAGCACCTTGGAATTGGGTATTTAAGCAGAGCATGAAGACAATTACAAGCTTCTGTAAGATGGGCAAGGATCTCTTCCAGATTTGTCTGGGAAGTTTTCAGACACCAACAGGTACTTTCCACCTCCCCAAAGTGGGAAAGAGGGAAAATGGCACCAGTTGCACAAGGCTTGTGAGGAAGAGGTCTTCACTGGTACAAGGCTGCTCAGGAACTGGTGAGCAGTTTCCAGCTGTAGGCTTTGTCATTGAGATTTGGGCATTTCCTTTTGAGAACTTCAACTGTCATTACTGACAGTATAGAAATCCACAAAATGCAAACAACTGACATGTCTTTAAAGAAGCAGCACTTGTTAGGCGTGGATTATTCCCAGAAGCAAAGGCTGCAGCTTTGCTGATATTTCCAATGACTCAGTGCACTTGACTTTAAAAAAAAAAAAAAACAACAAACAAACCTCGAACAGTTGCAACTCTCCAACCTCCCAAAAAGCCAGCAGCAGCTGCAGAGAGCTCCAGCCTGACGAGTACCTCCAGAGGCAGCAGCATGGTGCACAGGCAGTTGGGCTGAGCCAGCCCCGGATGCTGCAGCATCCGCATCCTCCTTTCCCTGTGCCGGCGAGGTCTGAGTGCCAAAGGAGCCGAATGGACAGACCCTCCCCAGCACAGGCAGGGGTCTCTGGCAGCCACGGCTCTGCAGAGGCAGAGGACGTGTAGCTCATGGACAAGCTATTCAGCTCCAACACGGGCTGGCAGAGCTTCCAGTGGGCTCTGAGCATGATGCAGCACCAGAGTTGGCCCTGAAGCCTAGGAGATTTCAGCATGTCCCCCATGCGCACAGACTATGCCCATTCTCATAATACAGAAGAGAATAGATACAGGCAATTGTATGCAGGGCTGACTCATCGTGTCCCCCAGTTTGATACCACTATCTCTGTAGACAATCTGCAGGAACTTGAGACAGCCAAGAAAAAGAGGGATCTAGCAACTAAATCCTAGACGAGACATACATCTCAGAGGAAAGGTTGCGTACGGCCACTTTGGGTGCCCTATTATACTATACAAAGCTGTGGCCAGTTCTTCCCCTTCTGTTTACGTTTGCCCATTTCTAAAACCCCCATTTGAGTATGCCCTAGAAACCCGGGATGGGATCAGTGCACTTTGCAAGGGGAGGTGTGACTGTATCACTCCTGACATGGCCAAACCAGAGCATTGTGCAGGGGGAGAACTCCACCAAGAGCTGGGCAGGGATTTGTGCAGGCATGAGGAAATGCATCACCCCAATTCCAGGCCCCCATCCCTGGCTGGAACTGCAGCATGAGACTCGAGACACAAAGACAAGAGCTGGGAACAGTACATCAAAAAAGCTGCTGCCAGCAGGTCTACTGAGGCAGGGTTGAGCACGGCTGCCAGCCAGAAACGCCTGTGTTCTGGGGCAGGCTGCAAGGCCAGGGCACGCACAGCCCTCTCAGAGAAGGGAGCCAGGCACCTGGGGCTATACGTCTCTATCCTGTCACCTCCGGGACTTGTGCTGCATTTACAATAGTTTTCTGGAAAGATCCACAATCTGCTGTGTGGGACCACGAGCATCATCCCATATTTAATGAAGGCAGTGCACTGGCTCCTGGGCAGCTGGTTTCATTTACCTCCCCTTTCATTTTAAAGAGAAACCTTTGCCCCTATTATCTGACCTCTTCTTCTGTTGCAGTTAATTACATTAAAGCCCACTTCCCAAAGCTCAGGAATTTCCGGATCTACTTTGTTGCCTGCTGCTACGGGGAGAGTCTGCTAGGAATTAGGGCACTCGCCTGCCGGGGACGCCAAGCGGGGAGATCCCCGCCATCAGCGTGACACCCCGCTGCCACCGCAGCTGTGAAACCAAGACGCCTCTACCGACAGAGGCAGTCCCCATCCCTGAATATCTTCCCAAGGAGAGGGCAGAGACCCTGTCTGCAGCACAGGACACAGGCAGCCCCACTGCTTCCCCTGGAGAGGAGAGGCAGGATGCGACCCGCTCCCCCCAGGTAAAGACCTGCGGGCACAGGGGAGAGGTGCTGCCCACCTCCAGTCAACTAATAAATGCACTGACAAAGAAGAATGACTGGGTGCTGCTCTCTGGCCCTAAAGGCAGAACTCACACCCGTGCCTTTCTCTGTCCCCAGATGAGGTGCTGCTGGTGGGAGCCATCTCTTGCCCATGCCGTCTCCCCAGTCATGCCCTGGCATTGCCTGGGATCATGCTGGTGGCCAGGGCCATGAAGCTGCCAGGGACCGTGCCCTCCATCAGACAGTGCAGAGGATGGCAAGCCAGTGGGCAAAGCTGTGTCCTGGCCAGGTTTATTTACAGGTGGAGATAGGCCAGTAATTCCTTCATGCAACCCTTTCCTCCAGACACAACCTCAGAAGACACTGCACTCTGAACACTCACAGTATGCTCGTGCAAGTCCAAATATATTCCCTTGGTAAGTACATTGCAGGGGGTGGCAGTGTCCATGCTGAGCAACTCTGCCCAAGCATCTTTGGGAAATCTGCCCTCTGCAGCTACTGCCTCATGAGCAACTCTGCCTGCATGCTCAACATGTCTAAGCCAGAAGAGATGTCACCCAAACCAAGCCCAGCAAAACCATTTTAAGCAGCATCCCCTATATGCCCATGTGCCTGGCATCTCTGGTTTGCCACATAGGGTGGGTGAATTTCCATCTTGGAAGATAACGTGGCATTCTCCAAGGAGCCAAAAGGATAGATGTCCACTGGCTTTGAAGAAGCAAACATTTACTTTCCCTGTAATTAATAGGGATTTGTGCTTCAGAGGCAGCTTTGCATAAGGATTTGCCCATTAAATATGCAAAACTTGAAGTTTTGCACAACATTTTGGATGGAAAAACAGCCGTACAGACTGAGAGAGCACGCTTGAGGATGGGACTGAGCATGGCTGCAGGTTTAAGTGGACAATGAATCATCACCATGGGTGAGGACGCCAGTGCTGAGCAGAGAGATGGCTGTGGGGAGGTTTCTGAGCAGTGGAAACCCGCATCCAGAGACTGAGGGGGTCCACAATAAACCAAGCATTTACTCATAACCAAAAATAACAAACTAAATTATCAGGGAAATGCCAAAACTCTTGGAGCCTCTGTCAGTCCCACCTGCCACACCCTCCTTTAGTGGAAATTCCCTGGGCATTTTGAAGCCATTCACACATCCCTCTCCAGCAACACATTACTTCTGAATAGGAAGGCACACATGCTGAGTTACATATGTAAGTGAAACCATACTCCGAAAGGCTGGCGAGGTTGCTTATTTCCACCCAGTGTCACTTTTCCGTCAGCTATATTTCAGATATATTCTGTTTTCACACAGAGAATAGGGATCTCTGCAATGTATTCCCTTCTCAATTCCCTTTCTGGATCAAGCACAGCATTTCAAAGGAATACCAGATTTGACAAATTTATAATCGATATCCCGGGAGAACGTTAGGGTTTGGAACAGAAATGTTCATACTTGAAGTTAGACAGCAGTTTAGTTTCCTGCTAATAATTTTCTTCTTGGATACAAAGGAACTTGTTTTGTTTTGTTTTGCTGTTTGGAGCAGAGATTTGAGACACTGTTTTGACATTTATTCATAAACAGTACAGAAGCCCAGCTCGGAGCTGTGGCCATTGCCAGGCCTCGCAAATGCATACGGGTGCAATCCCCAGAGCTGCAAACCCAGCCTGGGGGAGAAGCATCTCCTCCGCTGCAGTGGAAATGGGTCAGCAAGCAGTGTCTCAGCTCTGCGACCCTTGCGAGGAGCTGCACCAGTCCTCCCGCTCGCAGGCTGCTGGTTCAGCGCAGCCACTCAGCACCAGAGCTGCCGAACACTTTACACTAATCCTATAAGAAGAGGTTTCAAAGCAGCTGTGCGGGCAGATTCCTTGCACACCAGGATGAAACTCCACATCTGAAGCGTGGAAGTTTGTTCCTTCAACTCCTCCAAGGGCTTGGCCCAGTGATCAAGCCCTGTTGCAGAAAGCGAATTCCTGGACTAAGTAAATGTGATCAGCACATCGTGTAATCATGAAAAGCAAACTCCCAGCTGAGACATAGATCATCCTTGCACAGCATGAGCCTGTAAGTAACACAAATCCCACTCCAAATGCTCTGCTACCCTGTTGCACCAAAAGCTGCTGCTGCCTGGCAGTGAAGCCCCAGGAACCAAACACCCAAGCAAGCAACACTGCGGTGCAGCAAGGCAAGCTAATCTCCCTGAGGAACAGGACTTGCTGAATGCTGGTGCTATAAACCACTCTGAGATGCCAACAGCTGCTTCTGCAGGAGGCTCCAAGGTTAACGCATCAACACAGAGACTCTGGGCACACTTGCAAGAAAACCTCATGTCTTAAAACCCACCAAGCTCTTTTTAAGAGCAGGTCTCCAGGTGGGCTTTACAAACCGCGCTGTTATACTTCAGCAAAGCAACCTGAGTACCACACAAAGGGTCACTGAGGAGGATCGGTTTAGGAAGTAAGCCCTGTGGGCAGCACACAGAAGCCCACCCTGGACCTGAGACCCAGGCTCCCATGCTCAAGGCCAGTGCTCCATGTGGGAAGTGTAACCCACCATCAGAGAAAATCCCCTTTTTTCTGGGAATGGGGGGTGGGTCTCACCATCATTTTTGCTCCAGTGAATGCCTGTCTCTGAAACCTGTTCTTTCTGTGGCAAGAGAGAGTCCTGCCTGTCCCACAAATGCTTTTTCTATCAATTCTGGTGGTCACTGTTGTGCTTGCATGCTGCCTCACCTTTGCACTGGCATTTACACTCCCACTACTGCAGAGGGTCAGTCTGCTGGGGAACCTACCTCTGGCCACAGTGTGCAAACTGGGGCAGCTGGAAAAAGATGTTTATGGATTTTCCCCCAAATAAGAAAACCTTTCCCTCCACTTGATGCTTCTCAGACAGTGCTACAGCTCAGAGCTTGCTTTGCCTCTTCTGAACTGCAGCGCATGTCCATGTGTAGGAACCAGGGGAAATCAGGTATCAGCACCCCTCTGGCAGCCCCACTTGAGCCTGGATCTTAGATGTTCACCTCCTTTCCATCAGCATCTGCTTCTGGGGCCCCATCTGCACTGCAGGACAGCGGTGTGTCTACGGACACCTGAGACCATTACAAAATGGAGTGGGGAATAGGGCATTAAGTGTTTACCATTGGACTAAGCTGCCTCTCCCTCCTCTGGGCCAAACCAATTTAGCTTCAGGCCAACGGCTGCGAGGAGACAGCGATCAGGGTGAAAGGAAAAGGGCTTTCAGACAGTCCCAAACATCTGTCATATGCGGCTTTTGCTTCCCTGTTGTCCCCACCTCGGCCACCACCGGAGCTGCCTGTCTTGCCAGCTGTGCCCGGGGACTCGGCCATCCGGCATGGCTTTGTTTCCAGCAATCAGGCAGGCCAGGCATGCAGGCAGTGGTATTTTTAGCCTCTGTCTCAGCTGCAGTGGTAAAGGTTAATATATCCCCTCCCGTATTTGTTCAAGAGGCTCCAGAGGGATGGACAGAGCCTCTTTCACCTATTTAAATGCAGCAGGAGGACAGAGGAGGTGGCTGTCACACATCTGCCCCCTCTCACACCCAGACAGCACATCAGCTCTGCTCCCATCCTCGTCTGATCACTGCAATTAGTGTTGGAAAGTAGAAGAAGTGGTGAATACCTACTGTTGCCAGGTAACAGCATCCACCGTGCTGCCAGCCACTTTCATGAACCTGTAGGAAAAAGAGGAAGAAACCATATAAGCCCAATGTTGTCACAGGGGAAATCCTAAAACAACTGATGCCCATCTTACATCACAGGATACCAAAGGGGGTCAACTCCAGTCACAGATCCTTTCTAATGAAACCTTTGCATCCTTAAATGGAAAGAATAAATTATACTTTCTACAAATGCTTGTAACAAACACAGCTGAGAATAATGGAGTGAAACCCAACTGGCAGCAGAGCTCTGAGCATCATTTTGGGGCAGGTAGGGACAACAGAATTTCAGGAACAAGGGTATGTAGTTAGTTCTACGAGAGCAACAACCCTCAATAGTGATTAAAGAAAGTTTTAAATGCCCATCTTAAAAGGAGACACTTCTTCACCCAACATGTACTTAAGCTGAGGAACTCCTTCCCTGGACTCAAGTAAGAACTGGCAAAATGGAAGAAAAAAATAGCAAAGCTATTAGATGCAAAGATGCCATGTCCAGCTCAGGAAGCCCCTGAACATTGGAGGATGGGAGGAAAGGCTGGGCAAATACTGCTACATGCTTCCCTTTTTTTTTGATGCTCTTTCTTGGGCATTAGGTGTTAGCAAACTGATGGGATTCCGACCTGGGTGCACTTTTAGTCCATCTAGTTCCTATTACTAACCATGCACAAGGTTACAGTTATGTGTGTGTATTTGTCTCCTGATCTTAAAGACAATTCACCTCCAGACAGCTGCTATGTGAGTCAGACTTGAGGCTACACAGGTGTATCTGCTTATGCTGATGATGCCAAACCCAAAGCAATTCCTAATCTTGGGCACTGTACGTGATCACCGCAGCAGCCGCCTCTGCCACAGGCTTGCTCCATCCAAGACATTTCCTCTCTGACTCCCTGGTCCAACAATGCAAAACGCACCTTTGAAAACTGTGGCTCCCAGGAGGAAGCCCAAGCAGTTACTCTGTTCTTACGCTTAGGAGCAGAGATATGAAAATACACAAAGGCACACACCAACTGGACAGGCACACTTTTCTGTTCAGTAGTGTAACGTGTATAGCTAATGCATTTTGGAAGTGATAATGTATGCACGTGACAGGAGACACTAGCTTGAGCAAGTGAACGTCACGAGAAAGAAACCGATGCGCAGGAATCCCGGGAACACAACAGGAATCACACAGCTGCCCTGACTCCACTGGGACACAGGGATGAGTAGCATTGGGTCCTGTGACCCCAACTCCCCCAGGACAGCCCCGTGACCAAGGGTGGGGAAGGGAAGGTTTGTAAGGAGAGATGAGACCTTTCATCAGGCCAGTTGTGATGGCAGAGAAGAACAGCAAGCTTTCCAGCGCACGAGCCTCTAATCAGGTCTGAAACAAGAGCAGCAAACTTCAGGCTAAATATAGCTCGGAAACAATCATTCTGACTTTAAATTAATGACGATGGTCAATTATAGGCTGGGACAAAAGGGCAGCTGGACCCTGTGAAGCATAAGAGGACACTGGCACAGGCAGGGGTAATAAATCCCTGTGGACAGAGAGGGAAGAGATACAATTAGAAATGGAAAAACAATAACATGCTGTAAAACCTTGTAGCACTGATGCATCCCTGATTCTGCTGCCTAGCAGCGCTGTGAGCTTCAGTTCCCAGGCTTGCCTTTCAGAAGTGCCTTTACATCTCTCCTGAGGGTCAGGCCTGGGAGGCCAGTACCAGGGCATTGGTTTGGGGATGGTTCTTCCCCAGCTGAGCAGGGTGAGGAGACCTGCTGGACTAGTCGTGGTGCAGCCAGAAGGAGAGGTGCAAGCTCCCCACAACCCACATGGGTCATCTGGTGAAAAGGGGATTTTGCAAATATTGTTCTACAAAACTAAGTGTACAGAAATATGCTAAAAGGATCAAAAAACCCAACTCCCAGGTTTTAAATGCTCAGTACAGGGACTGCTGCCTAAAATGTAGCACATGAAGCATACAAGAGTGAACTAATGAACTCTAAACTGAAATTATGAACACAATCTGTATTGGGTTTGAAGATCGATATATTGCAATTGGGTTTGAAGATTAGCCCAGCTTGCTTTCTAACTTTAAATGCTTTATGTTCTGACTGCAAAATAAACCATCCTAAACTTTACTAAATCACCTCTTCAGGCTCAGCTTGGCAATCTCCACTCGCAGTCCAAAACCATGAGCAGACTGAGTTCAGAGGAAGAAGCTCTCTGGTTTTCTTTACCACTTCCACAGAGCCTACAGCCCTGCTGCAAACACACCCACTACAGCTGACTTTGAGCAGGGACTGAAAAGCAAAGCAAACCCTCAGTATGACCTCCAGCATCCCTGGAGCAGCAAAAGCAGGACATCTGTCTGTCCCATTTCCCATGTCTCTAGGAAGCTAACTGACCTGTTATTAAAAAGCTCTTGAGAAAATGACACAGGCATCACTCAGGTGGCACAGTACAGACCAAAAGCAGGACAGAAAAGGTCCTGCCTTGCATAGAGTTCCTCTTTGGTCTCCATAAGAGTGAAATAAATCAGTTAGTTCTGGTCGTTTTCAAATTTTACCTTAAAAGATGCATATCTAGCTCAAATTTTGCTTTCCATGTCTGTCTGTCTTCCTTTTATTGAGATTTTTGCAGGATGAAGTTCAAAAGTTCCTGGTAAAACTTCAAGTGCTGTCTCAATGGTGGAGTTGTGCCTGGAGCACCCCAGAGGAGTTGGGCAATGGTCTCTACCCTCCAAAGGGAACCTAGAGCAGCTCAACAGCCAACGAGTGGTACTGCACAAGAGATGAAAGCCCAGGGCAGGTGGAGATACAGAGATGCACAGGTATCCAAATATCCTTGGCTTAGCAATACAGATGTAACTAATCCCTTTATTCCTGTAGCACCTGTGCTGCTCAAACCACAGATTTTGAGGCCAGTGAAGATCCATACGGTCCAAATGACCAGTGCTGGCACATTTTTATCTGGGATTTCCTGGACTGCGTGATGTCCATGTGTGCAACGCGGCGCAGGCAGAGCAAACCAGACGCTTCCGGGAGGGCTCAGATCCCTGCACATGTGCTGCACAGATGGGCTGGGCTGGCGCAGTAAATCTGCCATTTTCCTACACATTGGCCTTTCTCTGTGAGCACCAATCAACCACGCAGCACATGTGCAGTAAATCCCACCCCAGGAGCAGTGGGACAAGCTGAGCCTGTGCCGTGCAGGCAATGTGGACAACCACTGTAGCGATGCCCTGTGGTAGCAGCTCCAGGGCATACCCATGCGGTATCCCTGGCTGGACTTCCACATGTCAGAAATTTAGGCAAATGTAAAAGTCCTCAAAATCTGCTGGGGCAGCATCTCTAGGTGGGAAAACAGAACACATCAGCGGCCTGAACAGGAGCCTTGGGCAGGGAATTTTTGATACGATGGATTAAACAAAGTCACTGAGCTCGGATATGTCCATCTCCTTACCCTTGCAGCTGCCCATGTGCCAGTGCCCCATGCCAGCATTACTACTTGTGGGACCTGTGTTGAGCTAGAACTGAGGCTCAATAAGCTTTTAAATAAGCAATGAGAAAAATGTAATTTAACAATGATCACTCACCCAAACAGTTCACAGCTCTGTCCCAGAAATGGTAATACTGGCATAACATGGGACAGCACCTCGCAGGTCAGGAACGAGCTGTGGCAGAGCGGGGCAGGAGAGCTGGACACCCTGAGGTGGTACTGACACCGTAACTCTATATTGTGAAACCATGCCTCAAATCTGACCTTCCTCAGAGCATCTCCCATAGCCACATCTCCCAGGACCGCAACTTTCACTTGAGTGTGGGCACATCTCTGAAATAGATCTCATGTCCTGATTCAATACTGAATCACAGTGCACCTACTTGCAACCTTAAGCAAATTGCTCCCATGGTTAATTAGCCTCCGAGTATGTTATTTCTCATCTGAGTGTGTCTGGCTTCAGCTTCCAGCCACTGGAACTTCCTAGGTTTATTCCTGATACATTAAAGAGCCATCTGCATTTGGAAACCTCTTTCCCATGCAGGTAATTGCAGATTGTCATCCTTTAAATAAGAAAAAAGTGATCCTGTAAAAAAAGAATGCAGCTGCATAAGGACACAAGTTACTATCACACAGGCTCCCAGGTGGTTTAGGATCATCATCTGACTCCTGGGTGATGGACTTCACAAACACGGGTTGTTTCATCTGTTACTCCCTGGAGTACTACATAAACAAACTGACCCCCCCAAGCCCCAAATGTGGGAGCAACACTGGCCTGCCCGTGGTGCCGCGGTGGATCCCTTGAGCTGGGTGGCAGACCTCTGCCCTTTGAGCCAACAGTGACAGGTAGAAATAGCTTTATCTTGTGTCTGAATTGGGTGGTGAGGGGGACTGAGGCACAGGCTTCACTCACTTCTTCAGGTTCCAGTAGCACAATCAAATACCCGCAGCAGCAGAGACAGGCACTCAACCCAACTCATGCTGCCTGCTGCAAAGACTTTGACCTGCAGTGCCAGAGTTCAGACAGGATTTCACTCCGGGGAGCGGACCCTGTTGGGGACTACGTATAAATGTGCTACTATATTGTATTCTTTCTCTGCTCAACATTACCTTTCTTCAACCAACCTGATCTACAGTAGGGCTGCACAAACCTTCTAGCAAAGAGAGCTTTATGTCCCATACTGTCCCACCCAGCCTTGGTAATCTGCACTCCAAGGACCCTGGAGGTTGTATTTGGACCATGATGTTGCATGATGCTTTTTTCAACCATTGATTTGTCCAGTCCCTTTCTGAACACACACCTCCACAACACCCCTCCACAATACCCTGTCACAATGACTTCTACAATGCCATCACATACCATGTGAAAAAGTTTCCTCCTCCTTTCCAAAGCTTTCTTCCAAACTACTTTCTGCACTGTGGAAAAAACACCCCATTCACAGGCTCACGGGCCTCGGTAACATTCCCTCTGAGCTGTCTGTCTTCCAAACAGCTGAAGAGGCATAGCCTATTTAATCTCTTCTCATGTGAAGAAATC